CCGAACCAAATGGAATGGAGGCCCGCCACCTTCCTACCCATCAGCTCCCTGAGAGGGGGCCTTGCCGGGAGTGGCAAGGTCTGTGGCTGTAGCCCTGGCTAAGCCCAGTCACCTAGAGGGCTCTTTAAAAGAACTCTCCCAGGCCTGGGAAAGTACTGAGGTACTGGAGAGCACAGGCATCTGTCTTTTTATGTAGTAGAAAATATAAATATGTGCATGTCTCTATCCCCTACAAGGCCCCTACTCCCCAACCACCACCACTAAAGGGGACTCCAGCTGTGCAGCACTTTCTTCCCCTTCCTCTCCTCCAAGATTGTCTGGGCTTTTGTAATAAAGAGATAGGAAATGCCAATGCCCTCCAGGCAAAGACCACCAGGAACTCACCTGTAGTGAACAAACTGGGGTTATTGCTTGTTGCAGTGAGGAGGAACACACAACATGAGGAACCATGGGGCATTTCAGCAAGAGGGCATTAGAAAGGACTTACAGGATTTGGGCTTGTGTCAGTGATTTTGGAGAGAGTTAAAGAAGCAGGACTTTCTCAGTGTTGGATGCTGTCTGGAAGCAAGAGTAATTCTATGATTTGGTATATTAATAAATCTTGTCTAGAAAGAGGAATGACTAGAGCAAAGCTAAAGCTGCAACTGGTAAAGAAAGCAGCCACTTCTATTAATCAAGACAGAAAGATATTTGGTCATTTCTGTGACTTAGACAATGTTCATGGTTTATCTCTGTTCAGATATGATTACAGGGTGATCTTGTTTTTGTCTTGATCCACCATGGTTACCAATGGCCTTGTCTGATGCTGACGTCCTGTGAAATTGTTTATGTGCAAAGGAACACCAAGGCCTTGGCTGTGAATGTCAGGTCAGTTCCTAGCAACACCATGGTCTAGCTGATGGTACCAGGCCAACTTCCAGATGTCAGGGGCTGCTTTCCTCTTTCTCAGAAGAGAAGAAGAGACCAGGAGAGAAGTTGGTGGACAGAATTTCAGTTTTCTGGGCATTAGGCAGAGAGTTTCTATAGTGTGTGCAAGGGAAGTCAGGGGGCAGGAAGGTGGAGTGGGTTAATAAAAATTGCTGTGGGGCCCGGCCGCCTGGCGAAGCCGTTAAGTGCGCGAGCTCTGCTGCTAGTGGCCCGGGTTTGGATCCCAGGCGCACACCGAGGCACCGCTTGTCATGCCATGCAGTGGTGGTATCCCATATAAAGTGGAGGAAGATGAGCACAGATGTTAGCTCAGGCCCAGCCTTCCTCAGCAAAAAGAGGAGGATTGGCATGGATGTTAGCTCAGGGCTGATCTTCCTCACAAAAAATAAAAAATAAAAAAATAAGGGGGCCAGCCCGGTGGCGCAGGCGGTCGGGTGCCGGCGCTCCGCTGCGGCAGCCCAGGGTTCGCCGGTTCAGATCCCTGGCGCGCACCGATGCACTGCTTGGCAAGCCATGCTGTGGCGGTGTCCCATATAAAGTGGAGGAAGATGGGCACGGATGTTAGCCCTGGGCCAGTCTTCCTCAGCAAAAAAAGAGGAGGATTGGCAGATGTTAGCACAGGGCTGATCTCC